AGCACTTCACTGCTTTTACAGAAACTCCACAGTAAGAATAGAAAAAATGGAAGAGACACCATTTAATGTCACCAGGCATTTCATGCAGTGCTCATTAGCTAGAGAGGTTTGTGGTAACAGCTAAACAGACCCAATCTACAGCAATAGATCTTGGCCAGGGCTTCCTCTGCTCAGTCGCTTTTGAAAATAGTGTCTCATGATTGGGTGGAGATGTGTGGATGTATAGTGGGGGGTGGGGTGGGGGAGGCTGGGCTACTTAAGGAGCTCATTTCAGTTAAGGTCATAAGGAATATTTGTCTGTCCTGGGTGAGCGCACTATCTAAACCTTGCCAGCCATGTTGCAAGTCAAAAATATCTCTGTAACTGCAACTGCAAAGACACAGGACAGACTTTGCAGGCAGAGAAAGAAGTGAAGTGCCTGATTAGAACCAAATTCCTCTCCTTGGAAGAAAAGAGATTGAGCCAGTTTTTCCTTTAGTGTTCTTAAACTGAACTGCACTTGCTTTTTCAGTTGAACCAACAAAGAGATTCCTGGTGAGCCGAAATTCCAAGCAAATATGATCCTGATACATGAATTAGAATCTCTCTGAAAAACTCCCAGTGTAGGAGCCTGAGCCCTACGCTTGATAACCTGCAATCCATCAGTGTCCCTTTCCACTCAGGAGTCATCGTGACCCCACATTCCCAGCCCCCAGGGACTCTTAACAGGGGACTGGAAAGGAGACATCTCAACCAGCATGTGCACTTGGCTGCTGTCCAGACAAAAAGAATTTAGGCCAGTGGAAATTATTGAGGTAAAGATCGATAGACTAGGCTAATAAAAATTAATATCTTCAGCATGCAAACTATGATAGGCAGTGAATTAATATCCTTTAGTTATAGAGGACATTTGTAAGTCAGTATCAGGATAAATATAAGTAGAAAATGTGTAAAATCTCCAAGTTCAATGACAAGAAAAAAATCTACAAATCAATGAAATACATTTCATCTGTCAAACTGGCAGTATTTTTTAACATAATACAAAATATTGGTGGTAATGCACAGAAACAGGCATTTGTAATATACTACTGATAGTTGAGTATAACTTGTTGCAGATTTTCGTTTGGGTTGGGGAGTGAAGAGAGATATACAGCTACTTGATATATTTACCAAAGCTCCAAGTTGTTTTTAACCCTGCTCCAGGAGTCTTACTTACGGAAACTTTTGAATGCAGTAATCATAGATTTGACTAAGAATGTTCATCACAAAATTTTCATCACAATGAAATATTAACAGCTTCATAAGTGTCCAAGAATAAGAGACTGAGCAAATAAATTATGGGATATCCACAGAGTGAAATACTATGAAGTCAGTACATACAATGTAGACAATATTTGATAATACAAAAAGATGTTCCTAATAGATCCCTTAAACAAAAGAACCAAGTTATAAGCAGTATGTACTGTGTGTATGTGTTTACAACATTACTGGAATTATAGATGATCTTCATTTTAAAATAATTGGCCTTAAAACAAAATGGAAAACTTTAGGATTCTTATTGGGCTCTTAAGGTACTTGTAAGGTATGAGATACACAGCATTAAAAATTCTTCTGTCACCATCCTTCCAAAAACCTCTACTTGAACATTTATGATACTAGTAATTGCTCATACTTTTTTTATCTTCTCTCTCTCCATACCCTCAAGGCAACCTTTTTCCAAGAAATATTTTGAGACCTAGTTAGGTTCTGTTTCAACAGGGATTGATTGTTATGGATATTCTGTAGAAACACTAACTCAGGATTATCTGGAAGGCTAGGGGTTGTGACAAACATGGTTCTCTGTAAGTAATCCAGAATTCCGAAGGGGAAAATAGCCTCAACATTGTCTCCCAACAAACCTATAACCAGAGTTGTTGAGTAACAAGAAGTATTACTAACTGGAAGCCTTTCCCTGGTTTTAATAGCAAAGAGATACTACTTGAAAGGAAGCACAAGTACAATTCGAAACAATTGAATCCTAATCCTCAGTAATAGCTTTATAGGTGATGATAAACAGCTCTTGCAAGACTCATTGGTTATAATTGTGAGATCCAGGGAAAATAATACAAATGAATCCCAGAGTAATGGGTACAGGTTGAATATAGGGCCCGGACACACAAACTGGGAGTAAAGGAAACATTGGCAGTGGGATTACAGAACTGCTCTTTTGGGTCAGGATGTCACATTGAAATCTTGTATCAATCAATCACTGAGTTTAGACAAGTTATAGTTTGCTACCTTTAAGCCTCACTTTTTACCATCTATACTTTGGTGAAAATAATACTTGCTAAACGTGTATTTAGGATTTAATAAGAATCATAAAGAGCACTTAAGACAGGGCCTGGTACATATTAAAGAAGTGTCAGCTATTGTGATCATCATTATCACTGTTGTTACAAGGAGTGCCATTGCCCAGCAGACATTCACTGAGTGTGAGCTCTGCATGTGACACTACTCCAGACATATGCACTGCCTTTAGGTAGCTCTCTATTCTAGCTGGTGGGCAGAGTTAATACTAAGATATCGTACATATTTTACATAGGGAGGACTTTTTTTTTTTTGCAGGATAATCAATATTTTAGATTATTATTATTATTATTATTATTCATATGTGCATACAAGGCTTGGGTCATTTCTCCCCCCTGCCCCCACCCCCTCCCTTACCACACACTCCGCCCCCTCCCTCTCCCCCCCACCCCCTCAATACCCAGCAGAAACTATTTTGCCCTTATTTCTAATTTTGTTGTAGAGAGAGTATAAGCAATAATAAGAAGGAACAAGGGTTTTTGCTGGTTAAGATAAGGATAGCTATACAGGGAGTTGATTCACATTAATTTCCTGTGCGTGTGTGTTACCTTCTAGTTTAATTCTTTTTGATCTCACCTTTTCTCTAGTTCCTGGTCCCCTTTTCCTATTGGCCTCAGTTGCTTTTAAGGTATCTGCTTTAGTTTCTCTGCGTTAAGGGCAACAAATGCTAGCTAATTTTTTAGGTGTCTTACCTATCCTCACCCCTCCCTTGTGTGCTCTCGCTTTTATCATGTGCTCATAGTCCAATCCCCTTGTTGTGTTTGCCCTTGATCTAATGTCCACATATGAGGGAGAACATACGATTTTTGGTCTTTTGGGCCAGGCTAACCTCACTCAGAATGATGTTCTCCAATTCCATCCATTTACCAGCGAATGATAACATTTCGTTCTTCTTCATGGCTGCATAAAATTCCATTGGGTATAGATACCACATTTTCTTAATCCATTCATCAGTGGTGGGGCATCTTGGCTGTTTCCATAACTTGGCTATTGTGAATAGTGTTGCAGTAAACATGGGTGTGCAGGTGCCTCTAGAGTAACCTGTGTCACAGTCTGTTGGGTATATCCCCAAGAGTGGTATTGCTGGATCAAATGGTAGATCAATGTTTTGTTTTTTAATTAGCCTCCAAATTTTTTTCCAGAGTGGTTGTACTAGTTTACATTCCCACCAACAGTGTAAGAGGGTTCCTTTTTCCCCGCATCCTCGCCAACACCTGTTGTTGGTGGTGTTGCTAATGATGGCTATTCTAACAGGGGTGAGGTGGAATCTTAGTGTGGTTTTAATTTGCATTTCCTTTATTGCTAGAGATGGTGAGCATTTTTTCATGTGTTTTTCAGCCATTTGAATTTTTAAAGGCTGAAATCATAGAAAATATGGATCTGTCTCATCTGTGGCACTGTCAAAAGCAAAATTCAGATCCTTTATTGCAACTTTCAGTCTATTTTTAATTGAGGAAATAACACACATGGAGTGCATAAATCTTTTATGTACAGCTAGATGAATAATTACAAGTATCTATATTCATGTAACTAGCACGCAGACCAAAATGAGCACATTTCTGGTATTTTAGAAGATTCTCTCATACCATTTCCCAATCTATACATTGCCAGAGGTAACCACTGTTCTGAAACCAATAAATAAATTTTGTTTGCTTTGAGCTCCATGTCTCTATGTAAATGGAATCATGCATAAGTTCTTATCTGGGCAGAAAAGGAAGATAAGAGCAAGACCAATATAATAAATTCCTAAATGATGAATAAGAAAGCTTTGCTAATGAATATATGTTTGCCTATACAGTTGACTCTCTGACTGCATGGGTTCCGCATATATGCATTCAATTAACCACAAATTTTAAAATATTTTTTAAAACCTTTTTTGTCTGTAATGAACATAGACTTTTTCTTGTCATTATTCCCCCCCCCAAAAAAAACACTATTTACGGAGAATTTTCTTTCTATTAAGTATTATAAGTAACTTAGAGATTATTTAATGACTATGAGAGGTCATCTATAATCCTAGCACTTGGGAGGCTGAGGCAGGAAGATTGTGAGTTCATACCAGCCTGTGCTATAGAGCAAAAGCCTTAATGTACACAGGAGGATGTATGTAGTTTATGCACAAAATGCTGTGCCATTTTATTTCAAGGACTTGAGCATCCATAGACGTGGCCAGTAGATGCTAGGACTAGTCTTCCCTAGATACCAAATCTCCAAATCAGATTCTCTTAGCAAAATGTTGCAAAAATTCTGGTGAGGGTGAGAAGAATCCTAACAGGTCCTGGGGCATGCTTGTTATCACCAGTTAGAAAGCACAGGACCCCCTCCTCCCTGCCACCCTTGAGCAGTGGTCTCCAGGATGTTACCCTTGGTTCCTCTGACAACTGCAGATGAGAACCGGAAAAGTCAGGATGGAGGACATGAGGACATTCTCCCTCCTAAACCAATGGGCAGAGGCTACCTGGGGCTGGGTGATTTGTGAAATAAACTGAAGAAAGAAGCTCGCACTGACTCCAGCTTTCTCTTCATACATTTGTTGGGATTCACTTTTTTTCAGGCCTGGAAGTGTGGTAGGGCAAAGGAGGCAGGGAGGAGGGCTAAAGTAGGCAGCAGTTCCCTTCTGCCTAAGGCCGAGACATCAAGACATTGGCAGTGTCTCACCGTTTCTCTTTGTCCAGGTTATTACTTTGGGACTGTGATGACCGAAGCTACAGCTACTATGTCGAGGTTTCCACCAACCAGCATCAGTGGACCACGGTGGCAGACAGAACCAAAGTCTCTTGCAAGTAAGTGGGTTCCTTTGTCTTTCTGACAGATTGAGACTTTCCAGAGAAGCTTCATGGAGCCGCCAGATAATATTCTTATTTCGAAGTTGAAAGGCTATTCCAGTGACCCTGTATTTCAGTTTTGACCATTCAGCTCTTATGAGAAAATTTACTTGATATGACCAAACAAGCTTTATCTTAAGATTTGAACTTGACTCACATATATGAAAGTGACTTTTCCTTAGCAACCCTCTCTGCACATTCCACTCTACCTCTTTAGGATTTTTTTCTTCCTTAATTGCTGAAGCGAGGTGTACTTCAGCAGTTATTCTGGGCTCTTAACTTCTCATGTTCATATCATTCAAGGGGTAGTTAAAATTTGTCCCATCTCAGCATTTAGTCTGCTGTTACCTAAACTAAGGAATGCCTCAGTGTTGGGATTTTCATCATCAGACATGGGCATTTGATGCGTTTGGCACCAGGGCTGTGTTTGGCACCTAGTTGGAGCAACAGCTAGGAGGAACGTTTGTGTGGGTTCTGACCAGCCTGGAATCATGATAGTGAAAGAGCTCAGTCCCTTTGTTGTGTAGCACCAGGTTCTCTGGGAGGTAAGATTTCTTTATCTTTTTAAAAGTGAGTTTTGATTCTGTGCTAGTCAGATTTCTGTCCCTATGACAAAATACTTGAGAAAATCAGCTTACGAGGAGGAAAGGTTTATTTCAACTCATGGTTTCCAGAGGTTTCAGTCCACGGTTGCTTGGCCTTGTTGCCTTGGGCCTGTGGTGGCACAGTATAACATAGCAGGGGCACATGGCAGAGGAGCCCTCTTACCTTATGCCCTTCCAGGACACACCCCCAGTGATCTAACTTCCTTCTACTAGGCCTCACCCCTAAAGGTTCCACCACTCCCAATAGTGCCACAAGCTGGCAACTGAACCTTTAACACATGGCGTTTGGAGGACAGTCCATAGATTCACCCTTGCAAAGAACTAAGTCAGTGGTTTCAGTATATTCAGAGAGTTGTACAATCACTACTATCCGATGTTCCAGAACATTTTTGTTACCTCAGAAAGAAACTTCCTCCCCATTTCCCTCCAATTTCCCCAGCATCCAATAATTTACTTTGTGTTTCAATGAATTTGCGTAGTAGTACATGCTCTTTTGTTCCTGGCTTCTTCCACTTAGCATAATGTTTTCCAGCTTTATCCATGGTTGTAGCATGGATACACCATATCAGAATTTCATTCCTTTTTCTGAGTGACTAATATTCCACTTTCTGACATTTTATTTATCAGTTAATAAACGTGAATTGTTTCCACTTTTGGTCATACTGAGTAAAGCTGCTGTAAACATTCCTGTGTAAGTTTGTGTTTGAACATATTTTTTTAATTCTGTTAGGTATACACCTAGGAGTAGAGTTACTGTACCATAGTAACTGTGTTTTAACTTTGAAGAATTGCCAAGCTTTTCCATAGCAGCTACACCATTTTGTATTACCATTAGCAGTGTGTGAGGAATCCAGCAATCCTCTCCATCTTTTTTACCATCGTCATCCTGGTGGGAATGAGTGGCGTAACACTGTGTTTCTGATTGGCATTTCTGTGATGACTGATGCTGTTGAGTATCTTTTATTATTGGCCAAGATTTCTTAATAACGTTAGCAACAGCTTGTTTGATGCTGTGTTTGACACAATTAGCATCGTTATTTTAGTAGTTACCATGTAGCATGTTTTTACTGGTTATAGTAGCAATATTCTGTATTTCCATGGCTTACCATGAGTGTATTTCTCAGTCATGTAACAGTCCACATGGGTGTTCCTGGTTGTCAAGTGGCTCCTTCCACAGATGAATGCAGAACCCATTTCTCTTCCATCTTGTGGTTCCACCATCATTTAAAGCCTCGTCAGCATCATCTCCAAAGCAGAGAGAGAAGGTGTAGTTGGTTCTGAGCAGCCCTGGTTTAGGTGTAGTGTGCACCCTTCCACTGACATGCCATTGGGAGACTGGCAGCCTTGCCACACAGGATGCTAGTGTTTCTGGGAAAGGGAGTCAGTTCTGGCTGGGCAGCCACTTCCCAGGGTAGCACAAATCTTGCAAATGCCTCTGCCAGAGCATCAGAAAACTAACAGTTGTTTTCTAACTACTATTCCAGTACTTTCATGTATTTTATCTTATTTTGTTTGAATACAGAATGTGTTGTGGGATATTGTCCTCATTTTACAAGAGAGAAAATGAAGCTTAGAGAGATTGTTTTTTCCAGGGAGCAGAGCTCAGACTTAAACCCAGGGCTCTTTCCAGTGTACCCCATTGCCATATACCCAAATCGTTACTGAAGAGTGATATGAAGAGGGGAACAGTGTGGTTAACTTGTTCCCAAGCTGCCAGAGCCCTTTTGTGCAAACAGAAGTTTGCTAAGGCCCACAAGCATTCCCATTAGCTTTGTAGAGTCTTCGCTTATCACGTGTACCAGGACCAAGGCTAGATGCTGTCATCTAGCAGCTTGCCATCTTTGATGTGGATCATTTTGTATGTTACGAAGTGTCTTCCTCACCTTCCTCTTTTACATGTCTCTGTTGGAAGTGCTACACAAGGTGTGCTTTCAACAAGAGCAGGCTGACTACCTGTTGACCAGTATTTAGTTAAATGGGGGTTTTCCTGATTCAAAACCCCCTTCACTCACATTAGAGCCTCTCCCAGCAGCACTGTATTAAGTTATCAACATCTTTTTCTTCCCACTTGTTGGTGGATTTAAATAATTTATTTGATTTTAACTTGTATTTCAGTTCAGCAGTGTTTTGCATTTTGATGAATAAATAAATAAGCAGTACATTAGAAAAATAAGAGTAGTAGAAAGAAGGCAAGTGCTTGCTAACTCTGAAGGAATCAATAGAACCAAAGGTTATGGTTTTACATTTATTTATAAGCGTAACATAAATTTATTATACCTCCTGGTTTCAAGCTAGTCCTTAAGAAATAAAGATGATACACAAATGAGTAAGAAAAGAAAAAAAGGAAAGCAATTCTTTCTTAACTAATACCCTCCAGAGCAGATCTCAAGAGAGGATTCTGTTAGCTTCTAGAATTATAACCTGCTCTTTATTGAAATAGAGTTGGAGTCATGTTATAAATGAAATTGTATGGAATCTTTAAAAATCATAATTCTGCCTCTCAGTAGCATTCTACCTTGTCAAGAAGTCAGAGCATAGATTCCTGCTGTCCTCTAGAAAGTCCCCAGGGTGTAAGCTGCTCCCAGTGACCATTAGTCTCTTAGCTCTGGGCTGGACACTTTCCTTCCTAGCTCACCTAAGTCCTTTGTGCTACATGTGGAGCTTCTTGTTTTGCTTCCAGGATAAAGGTCACTTTTATTGCAGACAGCTCTGCTTTTGTATTGGCTAAGTGTTTAAAATTATTTCTAACCCTTCTTTTTGATGTAATCTATCCTGTACCCTTTAGACTATCCCAAGACCTCACTTCCCAGTCATTGATTCCTTTCCTTCTGCTAGCCTCTAAATTGTTGTACCCTAAGTCTTTATTAGCATTGCCTTTTAAGTGACAAACATTAATATGCACATGCAAAATTAATTGAAACAATGCAGAAAGACATAAGTGAAAAGTAGTTTCACCTTCCCATCTTTCCCCTTCTCAGAGACAACTGCTTTTGACTTGTTTGTTGTTTTCTGTTTTTAGTTTTCATAACTTCTCTACTATAAATAATATTTCATACCTCTGTCAGCTTTTCTAACTTACTATAAAAAATGAGAAATTTTGCCCACTTAACCACTCCTCACTTTTGCTAGTTATGATTTCCTTTCCATTTCTACTATTTATCTTTTCAAGTTAAATAATATATCTAAACCTCTCTTTTTTTTTGCCCCCTTTGGCTTTTTGAGATAGAGTCTCACTAGATTAGCCTTAAATTCTTGCTCCTCTTGCCTCTGCTTCTTGAGTGCTAAAATTACAGGTGTGCTCCATTGCACCCTTCTTTAGCCTTTGTTTTTTAATCTATCAGTTAGGGACAGATTTCTTGACTTCCCACTGTATTGATAAAGAAATAACTATTGTTAGACTGAGTGTGGTAGCTCACATCTGTAATCCTAGATACTCTGGAAGTAGAGATGTCAGTATAGCAGTTTAAGGCCAAACTGGGCAAAAAGTTTTTGAGATCCCATCTCAAATCACTAAGCCAGGAGTGGTGATTTACTCACCTGTGATCCCAGCCAAGTAGAAGACCCCAGATAGAAGGATCACTGTTGGATCTCCCCCTACTTGGGACAAAAATGCATGACCCTATCTAAAAAATAACAAAAGCTAAAAAGGGCTAGCGGCGTGACTCAAGAGGTAGCGCTTATTAGCAAGGGAGTCCCTAAATTCTAACCCCAGTACCCCCACCAAAAAAAATAAATAATTGCCACCTCCAATTTTCGTTCTATCATCTCCTTTCTACTTCCCTGTACTTCCCTTTCTACTTTCTGTTAGCTGTCTACCACACTGACATAGAAAAAGTTATGATACTTATTTTTGTTCTGTAATTTATAGTTAAATCTTCTGTTAACCATAAAGTGACCCTAAGAACAAGGAAAACCATGCTAAGAAGTCATTATTAACACTTAAACAATGAAGGACAGGAGTGTAAAACAGGTCCTGTTAGAGGAGAGCACTAGTGGAAGGAGGAGGGTAAATGAAGAGGATGGAGGAGGGTGAATGTGGTTAATGTACTTTATATACATGTATGAAGATAAAACATTCAAACCTGCAGTCATCTTAAGTAGGAGGCAAAGGGATGAGGGAAAATGATGGTGGGTTTGAACCTAACCAAGGTATATTGTAAGCATATATGGAAATGTCACAATGAAACCCCATGTACAACTACTACATGCCATAACATGTTTTAAATAAATAAAAGAAGTCATTATGATACACTGATTATATAAACAGTGTTCACAAAATATCTGGTAATTGGTTAGATCTACAGTGAGGAAAGCATTATTCTGTGCCACTAAACATGTACCCTTCTGGAAGAA